AGTATCATGTTTGGTCAAAATTGCAAAAGTGTTACTAAACAAGATCTCTTCGAAAGAGTATGAATCAAATAAATAATGCTGTCACAGTTTAGTAAAAAAAAAAAGGGCAATTAAGTTTTCGCCATTTCTGATTTTAAGTATCCGGGGTTGCCAAATATTATCAAAATTTGGTGATTAGATAAAGTGCAGGTCATTTTATCGTTTATCATAATCTAATTCAATTTATGTTTGATATAGTCAAACGTCACTGCTGGCTGGTTCCAACAACATGCAATAGTTATTCTAGCGGTCAGTCAGGATTATATAGGAAATTAAGCATTTGGTGTGTCTGGAGAGATTGGAAAAGGTTATTCTAATATTAATGAGTATGAGGTTGTATGCCAATGTAGGCTTTTTAGGGGTTTCATTTAAAAAGGATGCTAGCAGACAGGAAACTCGGGCACTGCCCGAGGGCCCGGGGTCAGTAGGGGGCCTCATGAGATGCCCCTGGTACCTTTTTCATAGGCTTTTTTGAGTTTGGGCAAGGACACAGGGGCCCCATGTTCCCCTATTGCCCGGGGGCCCCGTGAGTTGTCAGTTCGCCCCTGCTAGCAGATCCTCTCACTGCACTTCAGGAAGCTTCGTATTTTCCATGACTTTCTAGAAGATGCCAAAGTAGGCCTGAACATCATCCTCCAGGAACAATTTCCTTTACGCACTCTGCACCACTTATTGAGGTGTAGATGTGTTGGCCCTTGTGCCACCATCTGCCTCTCTCAAGGTGAAAATAAATTAATTACAAAAGCAGGAAGCCATAGGCCTGTCCCTATGCAAAAATTAAAAAGGGTTCCTTGCAAGATAAGGCTGCCAGCTCAGATACTGGCCTCGCAGAGGTGATTGCTACAAGGAATCCCACCTTGTAGAAGAGAGAGAGGAATGTCTCTAATGTTAAAACATACTATTTTTGAAGCACAGAGAGAACCAGATTAGGTCTTCTTATACCAAGGGGTAAGAGGCCATTGGTCTCTAAAACAAGATAGAAAGGGCACAAACATGAGCTTTGATAGTACTGAGAGCCAAATACTGGTCCAGACCCAACAACTTTCCTAGTTGTCACCAGTATTTGTTATGTTTTTATTTTTTATTATTTAAATATTAAATTTTTATTGGGTGGAGCTTCAGCGTGTGATGTCACCGCGTTCTGGAGGGACAGCGGCCATTTTCTTGCTGGAAACGTTTGTATATTCAATGCTGGTTATGTTACTAGTTGATGTACGTGGATCTTTTAATAAATTGACCAAAGTTTTGATTAATTACTACACTGAGTTTTTTCTGGTCTATATTCCTTTACTGACCATTGGATGGGAGATTCTTGTTAGTATAACCATTCTTAAAGCAGAAAGCTCAATTTATATGTGCAAGAGGATTTCCTTTGTGGATCACCTGTCATTTTGAGTCCCCATTATATGGTGCTTACTGACCGGTACTATTATTAAGGATTTTCCATCACGGAGCCATTATTCCATCCGGGAGACGATATCCATTGAAAATATTCATCACATCTACTCTTCATCACACTGCGCATACTAACCGCTTCACGTGGTCAAAGTGTCCGGTAAGGGGCCATCTTTTTCCAGGTGTACTGTATGGTGTTGGTGTATATGGTCAAGACCAGTCTCCTACAGTTTTCGTTTTATTATGTTTTGAGGACCTTTCAAGATTTTAATTTGGACTTTACCATCATATTATTTTCTTTCATTAGCGCTGCATTTTCTCTGGTTTACTATTTGTGATATTGCCTTTATTTGCTAGCTGCTTTTCATTCATATTCACTTGTTTCCTTTTTTATTATTTTTAAGTGCAGATATTTCTATTTTTATTACCTTTTTATTACTTTATTTTTTTTATTATTATTTTTTCCTCATAAGGATGTCTCTGTTCAGGTCAAGGAAACACAGTGGACAGGAATGACACAACTGTAAGTAAAATACTTAGCGATCACATCCATGGAGAACTGGGTGCCGAGGATGTACCACTGGCTGGACGTGACCAAATATGTGCTTGCGGTGGTGGCCTACTCAGCCTACTCTGCTGTGTGCGAAATGTCAGGGAAGGCATTCACTGCAGCAGGGACAAACTGTAAAGTGTAAATGTTAATAACATGGGGTGTGCAGTGTTTTGAGTACAACATTTATAATTTTTTTTCTAAGGATACAGGGCTCCATTCACAAAGCAGTATCTACTGCTTTAAGAAATGTGGTAAAATAACTCTTAATGTTTTTTCAAAACATTTTTGGCATTCACAAAAAAATGCTGCTAAAATACAGTATTTGGTATTTTTCAGAAATATGAGGTATTTATCTCATGAACCCATGCAGTATTTTATCTCATGTGATATCCAGTGGGGCGGATACAGTGGAGAAGAATTAGAACTCCTGTCAGTTTTTATTGTTAATAAAGAGGTAAAATGGTTTAAATCGTAGAAATATGCCAACTCACTAAGTCAGTGCTGTTCCTGCAGCGTATTTATTAATACAAAAAAAAAAAAAGATGACTGGAATACCAGTCAAAGGGAAGCTGCATTCACAAGACACATGTGGTATATCAAAAGCAAGTTAAATTAGGTAAATGTAAAAAATCGTAATAAATGTCAAATATTGAATGAAAATAGTATAAAAAATATACACATATACTATATAAATACCCTCAACAACGTTGTGTTTTTTATTGGTGGAAGAAGGACATTTACAGTATATATGTGTGTGATTTTTTTTTAATACTATTTTCATTCAATATTTGACGTTTATAAGGATATTTTGTATTTAACTAAAGTATAACTAAAGATTTTTTTTTTACTTTTGGATAGGGTGGAGAGGTATTAGAACACCTATTTTTTTCTCTATCGAACCCAAATTTCTCCCCAGAAAAGTAATAGAGGGGACATCTTCCAGTGGGGACACAAGTTCTGGTGACCTGGGGGACCCCAAGGGATTTCCTTAATTTGCAGAGATTTCCTCTCAATTCTTGTTTTGGCTAAGGGCCAGGAAGTGAAGGTAAATCTCTCGAAAAAAAACTGACAGGGGTTATAACCTTCCACAGCTCTATCCAAAATGAAAAAGAGAGTTTTGTCTTTAGTTACACTTTCAATAAGCCTTTCTCAACCTTTTCAACCCAGAGGAACCCTTGAAATAACTTTCCAGTCTCAAGAAACCCCTGCTAAAAATTATTATATCTACATCTCATGATACATTAGAGTGATGGTTAATGGGAAGAATGCTCCTTGCACTTGTGTTCATTGGGAAGAATTACCTCCTTATACTGTAGATAGCTAAAAAGATTAATGATATCAGTGGGAAGATATCCCTAAAAATAATTGTGAGAAAGTAAAGTATTCCCACTACATATGGCATATGTTCTAACAAGGGATTAGCCCATTGTGATATGCATGTACATTGTATCATGTTTGGAGTGATTGGGAGGTCAGCAAATGACCTATATGCTTGTATATATACAAAAAAGTATAAAAAAACTGGAGAAATTACTGGATAGATTTTGCTACATGTAATAGGGTGGATTTACTAATTGTAATGGGGTGGATTTACTAGAGGCACATAAACTGTACACTTTGCAAGTTGCTCCAGAACTTAGTAAATCAGAGGGAGCTCTGCTGACTTCCATCATCTAATCCAATAAGGCACAAGCGAAAATGGTGTTTTTTTTTTTCTTGCATGTGATTGTGTATTCTTTGTAAAGTGTAGCTTTACCTCATTTACTAAGCTCTAGAGCAGCTCGAAAGTAAGTCTATAGGCAAAACGTTTTGTTTTTCATTTTTGATAGAGCAAGGGAGGGTTATAACCCCTGTAAGGTGTTTGTTTTGTTTTGGGTTTTTTTGCCAAAAATGTTTTTTTCGCTATATTTTAAGTAAATCAACCCCAATGATTCTGTGTTTTTCCGTATTTAGATTTCTATGCATTACTGTTGAAAGAAATGATCCATAAAGGTAGAGATTACTCCAAATTGGCTATTGTATTTTACATTCCTTAAATACTGCATGCCTGGACCACAACTACCACATGCATTTAATTATTTATTTCCTTTTGTGAATTGACTTTAATGCCTTAATTCAGTATTTACCAAGCTTTTTGGATGTTTTGAGGTACATACCACAAAACTGCATAGTGAATTGACAATTTCAGAATCGCATGCGTAATTTAGGGAAAATGTGTCACCTAAATACTTCATGTGATCTGCTTTAGTGAATGGAGCCCAAAAACTGCCTGATGCACTCTAGTCACCCAAATCTAAAATGTATACTCTTAAAAAAAACTGGCCAGCAGCAGGACATATTTAATCAGGGAGAATTGTCTAAAATGTTTTAGAGAGACTGGAGTACAGGCAGGAGTTTTACTGCAAGAAATAAGAAACCACAGTGGAGACAGCATAAATTTAGCCAGCAGCAGGATAACTTTAAACAGCAATTTTAGGTCTGTATTTACTATTAACAAAACAGGTTGGGGTTTTGCTGCCAGAATTAAAGTGGAATTCCAATTTACACACTTATTAGCCTTAAAACCAGGGGTCCTCAAACTTTTTTTAAACAGAGGGCCAGTTCACTGTCCCTCAGACCATTGGAGGGCCTGACTATAGTTTAAAAAAAAAAAACTATGAACAAATGTGGACACAGTACAGGAGATGACCAGAGACTGCGGACATACAACGGCGGCGGGAATACTGGGCCGGCCACTCCATAAGACACACAGACATTTCCCCCCAAGTGTGTCTTATGGAGCGAAACAGTGCCCCATTATTGGTGTCAGTGGGAGGAATAGTGCCCTATCATTGGTGTCAGTGGGAAGAATCGTGCCCCATCATTAGTGTCAGTGGGAGGAATAGTGCCCCATCATTGGTGTCAGTGGGAAGAAACGTGCCCCATCATTGGTGTCAGTGGGAAGAAACGTGCCCCATCATTGGTGTCAGTGGGAGGAATAGTGCCCCATCATTGGTGTCAGTGGGAGGAATAGTGCCCCATCATTGGTGTCAGTGGGGGGAGGAATAGTGCCCCATTGTTGGTGTCAGTGGGGGGAGGAATAGTGCCCCATCGTTGGTGTCAGTGTGGGGGGGATAGTGCCCCTTTGTTGGTGTCAGTGGGGGAAGGGGATAGTGTCCCAACATTGGCGTCAGTGGGAGGAATAGTGTCCCATCATTGGTGTCAGTGGGAGGAATAGTGTCCCATCATTGGTGTCAGTGGGAAGAATAGTGCCCCCTTCTTTGGTGTCAGTGGGAGGAATAGTTCGTCATTGGTGTCAGTGGGGGGGAATAGTGCCCCGTCATTGATGTCAGTGGGGGGGGATAGTGTCCCAACATTGGTGTCAGTGGGAGGAATAGTACCCCATCATTGGTGTCAGTGGGGGAAGGAATAGTGTTCCATCGTTGGTGTCAGTGGGGGGTGGAATAGTGCCCCATCGTTGGTGTCAGTGGGGGGGAGGAATAGTGCCCCATCGTTGGTGTCAGTGGGGGGAGGAATAGTGCCCCATCGTTGGTGTCAGTGGGGGGAGGAATAGTGCCCCATCGTTGGTGTCAGTGGGAGGAATAATGCCCCATCATTAGTATCAGTGACACCAATGATGGGGCACCATTCCTCCCAATGACACTTAACTTGCTGACCCCTGTTCCAGCATGTTGCTGCTGCAGCCAGCATACCTGGTTGCAGCAGCACCATCTGCACGGCACACTTATCTGTCAGCTGTCCTTCTTCACTCCGGCCTCTCCCTCACTCGATGTTCGCGGGGCCGCTCGGCTCCGCCTCCTCACAGGTGATTGGCCGCCTGTGTGCCTTTCCTGAGCTACAGTTCTGGCGCCCAATCACCGTGAGGAGGCGGAGCCAAGTGGCAGCACGAACATTGAGTGAGGGAGTGGCCGGTGTGAATGAAGGAGCAGCGCTTCCTGGACTGGATCATCATGGGACACGGAGCCAGGTAAGATACAGCAGCCCCCTGCCCGCCCCTGTACTTAGTGTCCCTTCTTCGCGGAAAATACGCCTCTGCCGGTGGGCCGGATACATGTCCTCGGCGGGCCGCATGTGGCCCGTGGGCCATAATTTGAGGACCCCTGCTTAAAGCTGTCCATTCACCCCTCCTAACACCTGTGCTTACTAACCTACTGCATATAAAAAAGTATATACTTACCTAATTTCAGGCAGCTCCATTCTGGTCACATGATTCCTTGTCAGCCAGCAGTGGCTGCAGGGGGAGAGGAGAGAGCGGTCCAACAATGGCAGGTAGCATCAAGCAGTCAGCTCTTGGCTTGCATTTGCTGGGCTTGCCAGTACTGGACAAATTAGCAATTGTTTGAAATCTAAGCCCCTTTTAGATTATTTTTCCTACAGTGGAATGAATGATTTCAAACCATTTAGTGATCTTTTTAAATCCTCTGCCAAACTCATAAGCATCTGCAACTTTCTTTCTGAGGGCATTAGAGAATGCTATTAATCTTGCCATGTTGACACCACGCATATCATTAGTAAAGAGAACACTAAACCCTACATGCATGAGGATTAAATAAAACAGGTTTCACCTTCATATTCCCTAAGGAGGTTCTAATCATTGGCACCTAATCTGGAACACTGGTTTTTAATTTAATGGATTTCAATTGGCAGTAAATGTAGGGATGTACTTACCTATTCCATATGACAAATCTGCATTTTTGTTACAATAGACCATGAAAATGAGTACACTTTGTCAAATGTATGGGACCTATGCATAAAAGTTTACCAAACAAACGCAGCAAATGTCCACACAGAAGCTTGCCCTATTCTGTATAATATAAATGTCTCCTATGATTATTAGTGTCATCTAATGGCCATAATGTGGTATATTATAAAAAAAAAAAAAATCAACCAGTCAAAAACAGATTGTGGAGCTTATGAGCATAGTAGATAAAAAAAAAAACTATTTAAATGCAGTGCAGATACTTTTTCACATGATTAGAGTGTTTGTTTGTGTGTATGTATGTATGTATACATTCATATATAATCTGGATTGTAGCTAATAACTAGGGTACTGTGGAACCTATTCCTTCGTTGCTGCTGTATTATCCTTCTGCATTTGTGAACATTTATGCAGAAGTGCAGCAGCCATCTTTGAGTAGACCACGTTGCAATGCTCATCTAAAGAATGTCTCCAGTTTAGGGGCTAGAGAGGACACTTAACTAGGCTACTGGAAAAGGAATTTTTGTTGTGCCACCTGCTTGGAGAATGCAGGAAGGAAGCAACTGTGGAGACCATGTGCTGCTGCAACCATTTCCTGTGCTGAGCAGCTAAGGGGGTAGTGAAGGGGGAGCAGTGGTGTGTCCAGAGTTTGCTGGAGCTATCTGATGCTGTGCTGCTCAGGAAAAGAGTACTGATCAGAGACTGCTATGCAATCATACATGTGAGGGGACCTAGATCCTTAGAGCCCACACTGAAGATCAGCGTATCATCACTTGCTGGATGTGATGAGTGACTGTAACCATCAGCAAACTCCTGACCATCAGTAGAGGACCACTGGCTACTACTGCTGGGTGATTGTTTGCAAGGGCGGACCTTTTTGTAAATCTACTTGGAGTTTAGAATGTACCTACTCTAGTGAGAGGCCTGTTGGTCACTGGGTTTTCTTGTGTCCTGGTTCCGTGAAATAGTTCTGCCCCAGTGAGGTTGCCCTAACTCCCCTTTAACTGTGAACAATCCAGTTATACTTTCAATTACAAAGACTGCTCTGGAGAGCACTCCTACTGCTTGTAAGGAAGGAAAAGAGGGACTATCTCAGCAGGATTGAAAGAGAGAGATCACAGCAATCCCTGTCTGACTTAAAATGGACTTTTACTGGATCAGAGCATGTGTATGTAGGCCCAGAAGAGGGTGCCCTGGGTCTGGGAAGTGCCTAACATCATACAAGTTAATCTGTTGTCTGCTAGGAGCTGTTGTGCTTTCTTCAAGGGCCTCAAACTTGTCAGCCAGCTTTATTTTTCCAATCAATAACTGGCTGGTGTAACAAAACTGGGACTGGTATAGCAAGTTAGGATTGTCTTTATATGTATACTGTTGCTAGGTAAATGCAGTTCAGTTCTGTTAATTACTGTAAGTCAGAATACTGAAGGTGGTTACCATATCTCTCAGAGTAACAGTATTGTCTTATTGATTGTTTGTATAAGTACACTTGCTAATCATTTATCTTTTGGCTGGGCTTGGCCTAAGAAATTCAATGTGCGCCTCTAAGCGCTGGGCTTGCGAGATGTATCATCTTTAGTTGTGCAGAGAAATTACGAAACAATTTAGTTGCTCCATTGGGAAAGTTGGGGGTAGTGATATATATATATATATATATATATACACATACTTTATATAATGTATATATGCACATATTTTAGCTATAGCACTCCCACGTGTTCATAAGATCAGCATGTTTTAATGGTTACATGCTTTGCAGACTTCACATCCTAAATTGAAGTGTCATAGATGTAATATTGCAGCAACAGAGTGCATCTGCTTAGGGACTCTGCGATATTATCACCTACTTATCACCACCATTACCAATTCAATACTCAGGCAAGGAAGAATTACCTTAATTGGTTGAAATGAGACATACATTATACATGTAGACAATTACTCTTTATAGCATAGAATATTTTTGTACATCTGAAGGGGACATGTTGTCACTGTAAGATGTGTTTTGTGATTGCAGATAGCAAGTGTTATTTGTTTGTTAATCCTCATATATATGTGCACATTGTCTTGTTTTTTGAGTAATCTATTTCAACATGTATAGGCTATTTGGTAGTAATTAAGCCCAATACATTTGTAGATATTCAATTTCTAAATAATTACAAGGGATTTCACATTTACCATCTCATTTACTTGTATAAATGCATAAATTATGAAAAAATGTATCAAATTTACATTTCCTGGAGAAATTCTAAAACAGATGTTGGACTTTGCTTATATTTCTTTCCCGCTGATGCCTCTGTTTCCTCCTTCATGATTCTGAATGGAGTCATAAGCAGTTATTTGTGATATAAATTTACCATGACTGCATACTGAAATATGGTGAGATTGAAAGATAGCATATGTAGCGCTGTTGCAGAATGCAATTATCAAGGAGCTTCTCCAGCACTAATTTGTCTTTTTTTAATCATGCCGCTTCAATACCAGTATTAAATTTAAAAAGGGAGGTCTCGCCAGGACTTTGCAGTAAATGAAATGCCGTATCTGTTCTCCACAGGCTGACAGTGCAGTTCATAACTTATGCATGGTCATACAATTAATTCTGAGTTCTATGGAGGAATCGCCACTCTAATCCTGTCATTTAAATATGAAATTGGAATACATTACTGAAGATAAAAAGAGAGCCATGTGCGTCAGCTGTGTGTGTTTTTGTGTGCATGCACCAACAGATCTATAATATATATATATTTTTAAAACTGAGTTTTATAAAACAAATGTTTAGCTCATTACATAAAAGTAAGGTTAGTAATATAACTTAGATTACAAAATCTTCAGCTTTACTCAAATTAGTTTATGCAAAAATGAATACACCCCACAACAAAAACTACTACATCTATTATTTCGTATGACCTCCATGATTTGTAAGGACAGCACCAAGACTTCTAGGCATGGAATGAATAAGTTGGAAACATATTGCAACATCTATCTTTTTCCATTCTTCAAAAACGTCCTCTTTCAGAGCCTGCTTGCTGGATGGAGAGTAATGCTCAACTTGTCTCTTCAGAATTCCCCATAAATATTCAATTGGGTTCAGATCAGGAGAATTGGGTTCAGATCAGGAGACATACTTGGCCACTGAATCACTTTCACCCTGTTCTTCTTCAGAAATGCAACAGTGGCCTTAGATGTGTGTTTTGGATCATTGTTATGTTGGAAAAGTGCACGACGACCAAGGGCAAGGAGTGATAGCAGCATCTTCTTTTTCAATATAGAGCAGCACACCTGTGAGTTTATGCTACCATCAATGAAATGCAGCTCCCCAACACCAGCAGCACTCATGCAGCCCCACAGTAGGACACTGCCACCACCATGTTTCATTGTAGGCACCATGCATTTTTCTTTGTACTCCTTACCTTTGTGACGTCATACAGTTTTGAAACCATCAGTTCCAAAAACATTTATCTTGGTCTCATCACTCCAGAGCACAGAGTCCCAGTAGTCTTCTTCTTTTTCAGCATGGGTCCTGGCAAATTCTAAGTGGGCTTTTTTGTGCATGGGATTTAGGAGAGGCTTCCTTTGTGGACAACACCCATGCATGCCATTCCTCTGCAGTGTACGCCGTATTGTGTCACAGAAAACAATCACCTCAGTTTGGCTTTCTACTTCTTTAGCCAACTGCAGTGAACTTGCATGGTGATTTTCTTCAACCCTTCTCATCAGAAGACGCTTCTGTTGAGGTGTTAACTCCCATGGATGGGCTGTACGTCTCTTTGAAATGGTTTGCAGTTCCATCTTTGCTAAGTTTTTGTATCACTTTTGCTACAGTAGTCTGACTG